ATATCCACGCATCTAGTGCATGCTCAAGGCGCTGGTATTTTCCCCGATCAATGGATGTCAATCTCAACGGCACATCTTATTATCAATCTCAACTCCCTGGGATCATACAACTCTTGCTGCCACTAGGTGCACCGAAGTTAATGCGACTTTCCCATTCTTACGAGGTCAAATTGATAACATATGTCCTATTATGAAACAAACAAAAATAACAAAATACTGTGAATTGTGAAATAAATGGTCACTCAGAGCCAGAGGCTCCAAAACTGGTCCATTTGAGGCCACTTAATTCCTCCAAAATGTCACATATGAAACCATTGAAACCCACAAAACTTAAAGCATTTGAAAGAGTATTTGGCAGTTTGGGAGCCACTCCCAAGATACTTCCATTTGTAAAATGTTTCATGAAACCAACAGAAATAAAAGTACATTTGTCACTTTTAGAGCACATTTTGTTGCGATCTAAATTAAGGGCAGACAATTCAAAGGGAGCTAACTCTGGATGACCCAATATATTGCAGAATCTGAGCCATATCGCGATCATCGTATCTGAAGATACTGTACCGGTAATATTTGACAGCCCTACAGGATACTGCTGACTTGCAAGTTGTAATTAAGTAAACAGATCATCATGTGAACATGGCTGCAGTTGATCATGATAATAACATTCCTGTGTACAGCAGAGTCTATTTTAGAAGTACAAAATGACACATTATTCCTGGACCTGGTGGGTGTAGTTGGCGCACCAGAAAAATAAAGTGACTCGTAACAATCATACATAAACTTCCCAATATTTTCAACTAGTTTTCACATTTTCTAGCGATCAATCGGCATTCGTAATCCTCACATCACTATGCACGCTTTCCAACATCCAGTGTGGTGCCTAAATCAATGCATGGAGCTTATAATACGTAGCTTATTCAAGTCATGCTATTTGTCTATACATTAAGAGTTATGCCCCTTAGCAGTAATCTTCTATAACGAAGGGCGGTAGCTGAATTTGAAGGTAGTTATCGAACCAAAATAACAGGAGCAAAATCGTCTTCTGCTGTGAAGGTATTGAAGCGACAGTCGCGAATACTTTCGTTTTTCTACACAAATAGATAAAAAAAAAATGACAGAGAAGATTCGGGAACAGTTGCGGTGTCAAAAGATGGCAATTGTAATTCAGAAATTGCAACAGAATCATCGAATGTCAATGACACGGCCATCGCAGTGGATGTTGAAACTGAGAACAAGACATCCCAGTCACGCTCTTCAAGTTTTATATCTGTGGGTTTTGTTCAGTGAAAGTCAAAATAAGTCTACTAATTTAAAACTTAAACAGACTGTCCCTGAGATATAAAGTTACAAGAAAATAACTTTTATGGTCATTTCATTAGATTAACAGTGTTTGAATTAACAGTTAATACAAATGAACAGCTATAATTTGAATGATAAAATCATTAAAATTACTGAGTGAATGAATTGACTCCCATGTTTTTCTGATGACCCACCTACAATGGCAAATGTCCCACTAGTTTCATTACCCATGGGCCCAGGGCCCACTTCATCTGAAAAGTAAAATAGACACTGGTACAAAGTACAGATCAAGAATCAGTCAAAGGTATTATGAAAGGGTCCTAGTCAAAAGGGCCGCATAACAAAAGGGCCCCGAAACAGAAAAGTCAAAAGGGCCCGCAAGAAAGTCAAAAAGGCTGCACACCCCTAGTCGAAAGGGCCACATCAAAAAGTCAAAATGGCCTCAGACCCCTAATCAAAAGGGCCCCATACATACATTTTTCAAAAGTATACAATGTATACTTTATACATACTAGTTCTGTATTTAAAAAGATATTTTTTCAACATTGGAAAGAAAATGATGACCACGAATAGATGTGTGTGAATTTTTTTTTATTTCATCTAAGCAACAAAACACTATCATACATGAACATCTTTATAAAAACAGAACCAGGATGTATAAAGTATACATAGGATAGATGTATAACCTTTTACTATAATACACTTTTAAAGAAAGATATTATTATTTTTTCATATGGGGTCCTTTTGACTTTTCCGTTTTAGGGACCTTTTCTCATGCGGCCCTTTTGACCTGTTCCCTTATGAAAAAGCAACATTCTTTGTGGAAGGTAGTGGGTGGGGTCTGATTGTGACTTTATGAGTACTTTACTACTTTTGTTAATATCAAGTAGTCTTTCACTCAGACACTGGTCTACAAGTTTCGTAATTCTCATAATCTATACAATAAACCAAAAATCTCAGAGCCATGTAAACATGATACAAAGGATAGAACACCTTTTGGTGTAAAAACAACTTAAGAATGTTCTGAAGGCAAGACAATGAAATAATTCTCAGCATATGCATAAATCCAAACAGTACTCTCCTTCCTTGAATGGATGCATTGCTAGTGTAGTATTTTCCATCATATTTTACTTGAAAACTTACTCTCGTAATGCCTTCAACTAAGTTCAAGGATCCTTACTTGGCTTAAAACCAATAATTAGGGATCCCAGGAATCCCTATGTTTGTGAGTCGAGGTAAAGCCCTACCTATTTTCTTCGTTACTGAAGACACTAATTTTGGTGTTGTCTGGATCTGAATATTAAGATTCTACTTTTCACAATGCATCTCTAACTGATTTATAATATTTTGCAATATTTTTATGTTTATGGTACATGAAACATAACTTTATCATACAATGGATAAAGATCTCGGTAGGATAGAGCCAACAGATATTTTAAGTATCCGTTGGGGTCATATAGGGATATTGATGCAAATTAGAGATGTCTACTTTCACAGAGGGACTTTTTAGGGACTACTTTCACAGAGTAAACAAACATGGCGTCACGCCCATCTATTGGCGATCATGTCTGTTAGGGTACTGTCAGTGCTTTTATCCAAGAAAATTCATGTGTGGTAAATACAAATGGAGTCTATTATGAAGCTAAGATAGAAATGCATAAGCTTATAAAGATACGAATACCAGTTCCCTGACCGACTGTCAGTGTTAGCAAGCAGATGGCACAAGAATCCAGGTGCAGAACGTCACACGAACATTAACGTGTATTTGTTGTTATACGAGCTTTAACATAAAAACTTACTGGGAACTAGATGACCTAATCAGTAGAGGACGTAATGTGTATGCGAGACAGTCCACCATTACGCGTACAAGTGACTACCTGAGAGGGGGTCACTTGTTCACGTGACTGCCTGATCACAGACAGGGAAATTCTGCATGTCCCACAAAAACGCCTCTAAAAGAGTTATTTATTAAAACAATTAAACACAATTTGCTACAGTCATTGATAGTTGTTCAATTTATTGATTTACATGAATCAAAACGCAATAAGAAAAAAATTAAACAGTCAAATTTTGACAAATGCAGCTGCTAATGCAGTCAATTCAGTGATCAGTAGAAAATTGTGTCACCGAGCTTGTGATGTAATGTATTACTACCCACACATTTGTGATGTCATAGATATAGATATCTGTGTACATTCCTCAAAGTTTAGTTTCATGATTTGTGGTGATTGAAATCGCATTTTTTTTTAAATTATAAAGTAAAAATGACATTGTATCATAAATAGGTTATCACACTTGTACGTTTTGGCATGGTTAATATCCTGCATTATGATTAAACATTGTTTTTTGCTAGACTTTTGCATGATAACCTATAAATATCACCACCAACTAATAACATAAATCTTTTAACTAACTGGTTCAGCTGCCATGATTGCACACAACTATCAAAGGTTTATGGTCTAACATTAACATCAAGAGGCGGAAGAATGTAATCAAATAAATGTTCAAAGAATTCTGGGACTAATCTGTCACGCCCAAATGCTTACCATTTTTAACATTTTAAACAGCTGATAAAATGTCCTGTTCTGACAAGGACAAATCAAGCCTATCCATTGCTAAAGTATTTTCATCGTTTCCAAGAGAATTCCAGTCCAAATCATCAATTTTACCACCACAATCACTGAAAATTTTTTTTTCTTAAATTGTGACATTGCTTATCATGCTCATTCTTTCTCCTTACATGATATTTTTCTAAAAGTTTATATTTTCTGTATCAATGGTTTTTGGATATATCGCTTTATAAGACTCAATGAATAACTGTTTAAAACAAAAACAACAGAAGTCAGCATAGGTTTTGTGTTATGATATCTTTTAACTTCATATCACGTCTATTGCATATAACTTTTATGATGTGTATGTGAAGAAAAGCAAGAGGCCTGCACTCTGATACTTATGAATAAAGAATCTGATCTGACTACCATCCCAAATCCCAATGATTCCATGTGGGGAAGGTTTACAGATTGTTTTATTTTCAAAGTAAATGACAATTTTTCATTGACACTTCAACTACGATAAAATCAAATACAAAGCACAACTATGGAAACTCCAAGATATGAGCAATGAGCATTTAAACATTACAAATACGTTTGAATTTAACGTGAACATGGTGAATGTGTAAACCAAACAAAGGGACACAACTCTAGACACCTGCAGATGGATTAACTCGAAAACTCGTCAACTGACCAACTTTGAAAAGGGAAACCAGCAGATGCATGCTGCCATTTTGTACAGAAAGAGACAGCAAAGGGCAAAATGCCATAAGACAAAACATTTCGAAAGATGGAAAGTTTGTTGCAACAAAATAACCGATTGTATTCATCAACCGCCTATAGTATTAACCAAACGAAAGGAACTTGTCTGAACATGCTTCGTGGACGAGAGGGAATGTGAATAAGCATATTTATAGTCAAAATGTAAAATCAAGGTCCCTTTATTTACACTCATATTCTACACCATTGTTGTGATTACAACATCCTTCATTTTGAACAAAATCTGAAAACCTAACGACTGCTGGTATGTCCCAACAGGTCGATGTCAAACGTGCGTTGTCAATCGACTGATGAGTGGTTGGGGCATAAAAACATACTCAGAATCACAATGCGCTCATTTCAGTGCAGAAATATTATCATACTGATACTCACCTCTTACTAGTTCACAATCTCCAGATTCTTGACGAATATCTGAGGTATTTAATTCGCATTTTTTACGTGAGGGTTTCTGAAAGTTTCAAAAACACCACCATGTTGACATCGGAAGTTACAGCTGCGCATGTACGAATTTAGAGTTGTTCCCCTTACTTGGAAATTCCCAAATTTATAAATAAGTTAGTTCGCAAGTGTTGCTATTCATGACCTCTCTCAAGTGTTCTAAGGCTGACACCTGTATGGCAAGCCGTTTACACATTTATTAAACAATTAAAGATATCTTCAATTGTTTTAAAGATATATGTATTATATTTAAAGATATCAATAACGTTTTAAAGATATCGGTAAATAATTGAAGATATCTTTAATTAATTTCTGATATCCAAATAGTATTAATAGTCCAATATTATTAGTGATGATATATCCTGATATTGTGGGACTTCCAACGGAGAAACATTTGAATTTTTGAAAAGGCCCCTTTCGCAATTATACCCATTTGGATTACCAGAAAAAGGTACATTTATATTCACAAAGAGAATGATTTTAGAGCGGAGGGCTCTGACAAAATTGTCGAGGCCTGACAAGTGTTGGGTCGGCTTAAACTGAAGTTCGTTTGGCTTAGTTAGTGTTTGCTGAGTTGAGCTGAGGATCGAGCAATATAAATTGCTACCCGCCCCTACGTATACAGTACGTTGCATTATGAACATATGTCTTAATGTTATTGCTTTACTTACGAGCACGGAATCTCTGCATTTCTACACAGCAAATTCAAATTCTTAAATTCGTTTTAGTTACAACAAATTCAGTAAATGAACTATCATATGTAATGACCGCCGTCGCATGGCAAGAGTACTGCTTTGCTGTGTGGGGAAACCACCCGTATATTTCCGATGATGTTAGGCTTTTACATGTTTAACGTCGGCCTTGCGGTGACCGATGGAGGTGTTAGGCTTAGGGTTGTAGTCAAAAGGGCAAAAATGGAAAAAGTCAAAAGGACCAAAGAAAAGTTAAAAGGGCCAAAGTATAGTCAAAAGGAACATAGACTTAAGTCAAAAGGGCCATAGATTAAACTAAAAAAAGAACATAAAAACTAATAAAAGTTTTAGCCCTTTTGACTTTTCCATTTTGGCCTCTTTGTCCTTTGGCCCTTTTGACCTGTTCCCTTAGGCTTATAGGTGTTTAACGTCGGCCTTGCTGTCGCCGATGGTGGTGTTAGGCGTGTCGTTGTTTAACGTTGACTTTCGGGTGCCCGATGATGGTGTGTGATGTCTGAGGAATGTGGTGCATACAACACTGTGAGGAATGTGTATACAACACTGTGAAGTATCAACATTGTGTGTGATGTCTGAGGAATGTGGTGAATACAACACTGTGAGGAATGTGGTGTATACAACACTGTCAAGTATCAACATTGTGTATGATATCTGAGGAATGTGGTGCATACAACACTGTGAGGAATGTGGTGTATACAACACTGTCAAGTATCAACATTGCGTGTGATGTGTGAGGAATGTGCTATATACAACACTGTGAAGTATGAACTTTGTGTGTGATGTCTGAGGAATGTGGTGTACACAGCACTGTGAAGAATGTGGTGTATACAACGCTGTGAAGTATGAACTTTGTGTGTGATGTCTGAGGAATATGCCGTATACAACACTGCGAAGTATAAAAGGGGTGTGTGATGTCTGAGGATTGTGGTGTATACAACACTGCGAAGTATGAACGGTGTGTGTGATGTCTGAGGAATGTGGTATATACAACACTCCTAAGTATGAACGTTGTGTGTGATGTCTGAGGAATGTGGTGTATGCAACACTGTGAAGTATGAACATTGTGTGTGATGTCTTAGGAATGTGCTGTATACAACTATGCGAAGTACGAACGGGGTATGTGATGTCTGAGGAATGTGGTGTATGCAAGGCTGTGAAGTATGAACTTTGTGTGTGATGTCTGAGGAATGTGTTGCATACAACGCTGTGAAGTATGAACTTTGTGTGTGATGTCTGAGGAATGTGGTATATACAACACTGTGAAGTATGAAAGGGGTGTGTGATGTCTGAGGAATGTGATGTATAAAACATGGCGATATCTGTGAATGTATATGCAACTGTGAAGTATGAAAGGGGTGTGTGATGTCTAGAGGAATGTGATGAGGAATGTGGTGTATACAACACTGAAATATGAACGGGGTGTGTGATGTCTGAGGAATGTGCTGTATACAACACTGTGAAATATGAACGGGGTGTTTGATGTCTGAGGAATGTGCTGTATACACAATGTGAAATATGAACGGGGTGTGTGATGTCTGAGGAATGTGGTGTATACAACACTGTGAAATATGAACAGGGTGTGTGATTTCTGAGGAATGTGGTGTATACAACACTGTGAAATATGAACGGGATGTGTGATCTCTGAGGAATGTGCTGTATACAACGGGGTGAAATATGAACGTTGTGTGTGATGTCTGAGGAATGTGCTGTATACAACATTGAAATATGAACTTTGTGTGTGATGTCTGAGGAATGTGCTGTATACAACACTGTGAAGTATGGAGCAGGGATGTTTGATGTCTGAGGAATGTGCTGTATACAACCCTGAAATATGAGCGGTTTTGTGTGATATCTGAGGAATGTGTTGTATACAACACTGCAAAGTATGAACGTTGTGTGTGATGTCTGAGGAATGTGCTGTATACAACACTGTGAAGTATGAACGTTGTGTGTGATATCTGAGGAATGTGGTGTCTACAACACTGAAATATGAACGGGGTGTTTGATGTCTGAGGAATGTGGTGTATACAACACTGTGAAGTATGAACGGGGTGTGTGATATCTGAGGAATGTGCTGTATACAACACTGTGAAATATGAAATGGGTGTGTGATGTCTGAGGAATGTGGTGTATACAACACTGTGAAATATGAACGGGGTGTTTGATGTCTGAGGAATGTGGTGTATACAACACTGTGAAATATGAACGGGGTGTGTGATGTCTGAGGAATGTGGTGTATACAACACTGTGAAATATGAACGGGGTGTGTGATGTCTGAGGAATGTGGCGTATACAACACTGTGAAGTATGAACGTTGTGTGTGATATCTGAGGAATGTGGTGTATGCAACACTGTGAAGTATGAAAGGGGTGTGTGATGTCTGAGGAATGTGAGGTATACAACACTGTGAAATATGAACTGTGTGTGTGATGTCTGAGGAATGTGGTGTATACAACACTGTGAAATATGAACGGGTTGTTTGATGTCTGAGGAATGTGGTGTATACAACACTGTGAAATATGAACGGGGTGTGTGATGTCAGAGGAATGTGGTGTATACAACACTGTCAAATATGAACGGGGTGTGTGACGTCAGAGGAATGTGGTGTTTACAACACTGAAGTATGAACGTTGTGTGTGATGTCTGAGGAATGTGCTGTATACAACACTGTGAAATATGAACGTTGTGTGTGATGTCTGAGGAATGTGCTGTATACAACACTGTGAAGTATGAACGGGGTGTTTGATGTCTGAGGAATGTGGCGTATACAACAATGTGAAATATGAACGGGATGTGTGTTCTCTGAGGAATGTGCTGTATAGAAAACTGTGAAATATGAACGTTGTGTGTGATGTCTGAGGAATGTGCTGTATACAACATTGAAATATGAACGTTGTGTGTGATGTCTGAGGAATGTGCCATATACAACACTGTGAAGTATGAACGGTGTGTTTGATGTCTGAGGAATGTGCTGTATACAACACTGTGAAATATGAACGGGGTGTGTGATATCTGAGGAATGTGTTGTATACAACACTGCGAAGTATGAACGTTGTGTGTGATGTCTGAGAAATGTGCTGTATACAACACTGCGAAGTATGAACGTTGTGTGTGATGTCTGAGGAATGTGCTGTATACACCACTGCGAAGTATGAACGTTGTGTGTGATGTCTGAGGAATGTGGTGTATACAACACTGCGAAGTATGAACGTTGTGTTTGATGTCTGAGGAATGTGTTGAATACAACACTGCGAAGTATGAACGGGGTGTGTGATGTCTGAGGAATGTGTTGTATACAACACTGCGAAGTATGAACGTTGTGTGTGATGTCTGAGGAATGTGCTGTATACAACACTGTGAAGTATGAACGGTGTGTGTGATGTCTGAGGAATGTGTTGTATACAACACTATGAAGTATGAACGGTGTCTTTGATGTCTGAGGAATGTGCTGTATACAACACTGTGAAATATGAACGGTGTGTTTGATGTCTGAGGAATGTGCTGTGTACAACACTGTGAAGTATGAACGGTGTGTGTGATATCTGAGGAATGTGGTGTATACAACACTGTGAAGTATGAACGGGGTGTGTGATGTCTGAGGAATGTGGTGTATACAACACTGTGAAGTATGAACGGTGTGTTTGATGTCTGAGGAATGTGGTGCATAAAGCACTGTGAGGAAAGTGCTGTATACAACACTATGAAATATGAACGTTGTGTGTGATGTCTGAGGAATGTGGTGTATACAACACTGTGAAATATGAACGCTGAGTTTGATGTCTGAGGAATGTGCTGTATACAACACTGTGAAATATGAACGTTGTGTGTGAGATGTCTGAGGAATGTGCTGTATACAACACTGTGAAATATGAACAGTGTGTTTGATGTCTGAGGAATGTGCTGTATACAACAATGTGAAATATGAACGATGTGTGTGATGTCTGAGGAATGTGGTGTATACAACACTGTGAAATATGAACGGTGTGTGAGATGTCTGAGGAATGTGCTGTATACAACACTGTGAAATATGAACGGGTTGTTTGATATCTGAGGAATGTGCTGTATACAACACTGTGAAATATGAACGGGGTGTTTGATGTCTGAGGAATGTGGTGCATAAAGCACTGTGAGGAAAGTGCTGTATACAACACTATGAAATATGAAGACGTTGTGTGTGATGTCTGAGGGAATGTGCTGTATACAACACTGTGAAATATGAACGATGTGTGTGTGATGTCTGAGGAATGTGCTGTATACAACACTGAAATATGAAGACAGTGTGTGTGATGTCTGAGGGAATGTGCTGTATACAACACTGTGAAATATGAACAGGGTGT